TCAAGCTCCTCCTGCCTCTACCTGACACCTGCCAAGTGCTGGGATTACAGGCACCAGCATCCCTGGCCTAAAGTGCTTGTTGATGAGAACTCTTTGTTAATCTTATTGACAACCTCTTGTACATGATGAGTCACTCTCTCTTGTTGCCTTCAGGATTCTTTATCTTTTGATCGTTTGGTTATTAGGTGTCTTGATTTGGATCTCTTTGAGCTTTTTGACTGTGTAGATTTGTGCCTTTCATCAACATTTGGGAACTTTCCAGGCCTTATTTCTTTTTTTTTTTTTTTTTTATTCATATGTGCATACAAGGCTTGGTTCATTTCTCCCCCTGCCCCCACCCCTCCCTTACCACCCACTCCCCCCTCCCCTCCCCCCCCTCAATACCCAGCAGAAACTATTTTGCCTTATCTCTAATTTTGTTGTAGAGAGAGTATAAGCAATAATAGGAAGGAACAAGGGGTTTTGCTGGTTGAGATAAGGATAGCTATACAGGGCATTGACTCACATTGATTTCCTGTGCGTGGCTGTTACCTTCTAGGTTAATTCTTTTTGATCTCACCTTTTCTCTAGTTCCTGGTCCCCTTTTCCTATTGGCCTCAGTTGCTTTAAGGTATCTGCTTTAGTTTCTCTGCATTAAGGGCAACAAATGCTAGCTAGTTTTTTAGGTGTCTTACCTATCCTCACCCCTCCCTTGTGTGCTCTCGCTTTTATCATGTGCTCATAGTCCAATCCCCTTGTTGTGTTTGCCCTTGATCTAATGTCCACATATGAGGGAGAACATACGATTTTTGGTCTTTTGGCCAGGCTAACCTCACTCAGAATGATGTTCTCCAATTCCATCCATTTACCAGCGAATGATAACATTTCGTTCTTCTTCATGGCTGCATAAAATTCCATTGTGTATAGATACCACATTTTCTTAATCCATTCGTCAGTGCTGGGGCATCTTGGCTGTTTCCATAACTTGGCTATTGTGAATAGTGCCGCAATAAACATGGATGTGCAGGTGCCTCTGGAGTAACAGTCTTTTGGGTATATCCCCAAGAGTGGTATTGCTGGATCAAATGGTAGATCGATGTCCAGCTTTTTAAGTAGCCTCCAAATTTTTTTCCAGAGTGGTTGTACTAGTCTACATTCCCACCAACAGTGTAAGAGGGTTCCTTTTTCCCCGCATCCTCGCCAACACCTGTTGTTGGTGGTGTTGCTGATGATGGCTATTCTAACAGGGGTGAGGTGGAATCTTAGTGTGGTTTTAATTTGCATTTCCTTTATTGCTAGAGATGGTGAGCATTTTTTCATGTGTTTTCTGGCCATTTGAATTTCTTCTTTTGAGAAAGTTCTGTTTAGTTCACCTGCCCATTTCTTTATTGGTTCATTAGTTTTGGGAGAATTTAGTTTTTTAAGTTCCCTGTATATTCTGGTTATCAGTCCTTTACCAGGCCTTATTTCTTAAACTCTTACTTCTTTCTCCTTTCCCTCCCTTCTGGGACTCCAGTATGCATATTTAGTACATGTCACGGTGCCCTCGGCCCTCTTAGAGTCTGTTACTTTTTCTTTCTTCTTTTTAATTTCTCCTCAGACTGTGTAATCTCAGTGGTCCTATCTCCATGAGTTCACTGTTCTTATTTTTGTGTTTGCACATCTTCTGGGGAATCCTCTAGTGAATTTTACATTTCAGTTATTACGCTTTTCAGTACTGGAATACTGCTATTTGGTTCCTTTTTATAATTTCTGTTTCTTTAATATTCTCCATTTGGTGAGGCATTGTCTCTTAGGTTCTTTGAGTTTTTAATATATGATTTCCTTTAGCCCTGTGAGTATATATGAAAGAGTTAGTTTGAGAGCTAATAAACCCAATTGTGGCTTCTTGAGGGACAGTTTTCATTAATTTATTTCATTTTGATTTGGGTCGTGCTTTCTTTTTTTTTTTATGTCTTTTTTTTCATAGGCAACCGGACATTTCAAATATAATAATGAAAGCTGGACATGCTATTGTGTACCCATAATCCAGGGAGGTGGTGTGTCCTAGCCCAGTCCATTGTTTGAAACAACAAACAATTGTGGTGACTTTGGAAGTCAGATTTTTCTCCCCTTCCCACATTTTTTTTGTTGTTGCTTGTGATAACTTTTTTCTTTACTTGTTTGCTTAGTGACTTTTCTGGACTAATTTTGTGAAGTCTGTAGTTTTTATCATGTGTGGCCACTGAAATCTCCATTAGCATGGTCACCAGCTAGTGATATGACAGACATTTCCTCCCTCTGCCATTTTCAGCAATGTCACTCCCCTGCAACCATTTTAAAATATAAATTAAAAAGAGGGCTAGAGCCAGGTTCCAGTGGCTCATGCCTGTAATCTTCACTATATGGGAGGCTGAGATCAGAAGAATCGCGGTCCAGGCTGGCCTGGACAAAAAGTTTCAACTCCAATGAAAATTTAGATCTCCCAGGGGAAGACTAGATATCGGTCATTTGCACCGGATTTTGGATGATTCAATCCAGCTCGAGACACAGAATATAGAAAATGCTCGACAATTATTTGCCAAGGGATCTTTTCTTGGCAGCACCCCCTGAGGGAAGGACTGCTTGCTTTTGGGCATTTTACCACATTGCTTGCCTTCAGTGTTCAGAAAATGAAATGAATAAAACTATATGCAGTGTCATTTTAAACTTCCTATAGAAAGTTTTTAGAAATTTTTTTTGGAAATGTAAATATTTGGTAATACCATATATTTTCATTGGAGTTTGTTATTAAAATACATTTTAATGGACCATGGAGAGAAATACTGAACAAACAATGGATAAAGAAAGAAAACTTTGGACTGGAGGTGTAGCTCAGTGTACAGTGTGTACTAGCCCTGGGTTTACAACAAAAAAAAAAAAGAGGAAATTTTTAATTGATGGTCCAAGCACAAGCACAATTCCTAAAAGATCTGCAGAGGAACAAAATACATGGAATTAAATCTCTATGTGACAAAAAAAAAATGTATTCCTCTAATTTACTATTTATCCACTTCAAACTATGATGTCACATGAAATGTAAAACTATGTGGTGGTTTGAAAAACTTTCATCTGAATCTGGTTCACTAGGAAAGATTGGCTCCAAAATAGTATCAGAAAACTGAGTGTTTTATTCCTGAAAGAGTTGCTTCAGAAAGTGCTATGTGAAGCAGTGAGTAAGGAGGAAGGTGACCTTCAGTTGTCCTAATACTTGCTCCCCAGCCATGGCCAAGACATACTTTCTCTCGTGCTGTCAGCAGTGATGAGTACCTACTGTATGCAGGCATTAGCTAGGCTCTGAGTGGGATGGTCCTGTGCTCAGGAACTTAAAACCTTATAAATATTTCAAAAATGGTGTCTAAGTGAGAGTGTGTGGGTGCATGCATGCTGTGAAAATTCTTCAAGCTGGGTTAGGATTTATGCCTTTTTCATTATGTGTACTGTAAACCCAAGATAAAGTTCCCCCCAAACTGTGCTTTGGAAGCTCAAAGTTGGAAGATATTGCTCCCAGCTGGGAGAATAGGCTTTCTGTGAACATTGTTACTAAGAGTCCATTACACTCAGGATAACGTGGTTTATTTTCAGATAGCCAGATGACATCATTGCCATTACCACAACAGCTACTACTTTCTCAAATGTATTCTGACATCATTGCCAGACATCATCCGGTCCTTATACGCACCAACCTACTTAATTAACAGAGCAGGTTGCTGTTATTGTCTGTATTTGACAGAGGTGCAAGTTGACACACAGTAACACTAAGTAATTGGCCTGATGTCATTCAGCTAAATAAAGAGTGACGCCAGACACAAACTGCTCAACCCAGCTCATCTCTGAGCCATTTTCAAAGGGAGGTGCAGGAACCCTTACAGTCCCCAGACTCTTTCTGGTGGAAGATATGTCAATTCTGGATTGTAATAGGAATAGGTAGTACAGTGCAGTAATAGGAAGATACTGTTTGTCTTTTTCACTGTCATTCTCTCGAGAGCATACAGTGGAACTGTCCAGAGGCTATGATGTGTACTTCACAACAGATGAATGCAGAAGCAGATAAGGGAATCCAAATGTCTTCTATTAAGCCACACACCTCAGAGATTTACAAAAATGGAAAACAATATCATGCTGTCACAAAATTTTTGTTTTGCAAATATATTTTCCATAAATTATGTTATTTGTGTTAATATTTCAATGGATTTACTATTGCTTTTGATAAATTAATAAGTACTTTAAATTTTTTCTTAGTTTCTTTTTTGTGGTACTGGGGTTTGAATCAGAACCTCACACTTGCTAGGCAGGCACTAACCACATGAGCCACTCTGCCAGCCCTGTTTTGTGTTGGGCATTTTTGAGATAGGGGCTTGCAAACTACCTGCCCAAGCTGGCTTCGAACTACGATCCTCCTAATCTCTGCCTCCTGAGTAGCTAGGATTACAGGCATGAGCCACCAATGCCCAGCCTGTGTTGAGTTTTTTTTTTGTTTTTTTTTTGTCTTTTCTTTTTTTGGTGCTGGGATCGAACCCAGGGCCTCACGCATGCTAGGCAAGCGCTGTACCACCGAGCTACATCCCAGCCCCTTGTGTTGAGTATTTTTGAGATAGGATCTTGCTTTCATTTTGCCCAGGCTGGCCTTGAACCACAATCCTCCTGAGTAGCTAGGGTCACAGATGTGAGCCACCAGCACCCGGTTTTAGCTTCAGTTTTTAATATGACAAATATCTATAGATATAAACCACATACATAGGGCAGGGGTGTGGCTCAGTGGTAGAGCATTTGCCTACCATGTACCAGATCTTGGGTTATATCCCCAGAAGCATAAACTATAATAATAATAATAATAATCCACATACACAGAACTCTTTAGAGTCCTCAATAACTTATAAAGAGTGTATTAAAAAGATCTCAAGACAAACAAGTTTGATAACCATAGCCCTACACGATTCTGCCTTAGGAAGTAGCCACCAAAGTCTGGCTTTATCAGTAGCTTTGGAGTTGGACCCATAACCTACTGCCATGTGTCGGGAGTGCACTGAGGGGGAGCACGCGGAGCACCCCACAGTCCCACTCAAGGACGTGGTAGAGCAACACAAGGCCGCCCTCCAGGTCCAGCTGGATGCTGTCAACAAAAGGTGCGGCACCCTCCACCTGGTTCCCAACCTGCTGCCCTTGCCCTGAGTGCAAGGCCTGGCCTCGTGCTCCATTGTCTCTGCACAATGTAGGGTCATGTTACACCTCAGGCGCAAGTCTTTGTGTCACGGTGAGTTTTCCTTTGATGATGGGTTTGTAGTCATAAACCAGTGAATGATGAGGCTATCGTCTACTCCTTGGTAAGATTCCAATTGTGTTATGTTAGACATGGTAGCTCTTTTTTTTTTTTTTTTTTTGGTTTTTCAGGAAGATTAAAGGAATTAAAGTACACTTAAAGACGGTGCCCTCAGATCTCTGAAATTATGCCTGAAACCAGGCCTGTAAGGAGCTCCTTAGCTGCTGCTCTTGACACACTCATAGACTCATTATGGTGGCTGTGACTGACTCCCTTGTTTATGTTAGACATGGTAGCTCTTTTTTTTTTTTTTTTTTGGTTTTTCAGGAAGATTAAAGGAATTAAGTACCATTAAAGACGGTGCCCTCAGATCTCTGAAATTATGCCTGAAACCAGGCCTGTAAGGAGCTCCTTAGCTGCTGCTCTTGACACACTCATAGACTCATTATGGTGGCTGTGACTGACTCCCTTCTGCCTGCATTCTGCACAATGGTACTGAGAAGTGATTGCTCCATTTTCAAGTTGTCCTGCTTCCAGGTTCTTTCTTAGTCTGGACATGGAGAACAGAGTAGCTGTGTTGTGCATGAGAAAGACAGAAGAGAGGAAATTACCCCAGCTGAAAAACAGACAAAATAGTAAATCTCTCACCCATAGTCAACAGTTGTTGTGAGATTATTCTATTTTAATTAAAAGAGCTTGGAAGCTTACAAGAAGTTCCCAGGAAACCTTGAGTTTGCCCCCACAGGACATTTGACAATGCCTACAGACATTTTTGGTGTCACAGCCATGGGTATTAGGAAGATGATACTGGCATCTGAGAGGATAGGATGCTGACAAACATCCTACAGTGCACAGGACAGTCTTGTGTAGCAAAGAATTATTTATAATGGCTTTTCCCAGAGCTTCAAGACTTTATACTACCAATTATTAAAAATAGATCATTGAGGGTAGATTGAAATGGCTGTAGTCTCTCAAGTCTCATTCATTCCATTCTTCCATTACTATTTTTTTAAAGATGATGAAAGGCATAGAAAAATAATTTGATTTATTAATTATTATTATTATTATTATTTGATAAACTGGAGTGTTGAGATAGGCCTTGGAATAGTTCCAGTTTGATGCTACGTAATGATCTTTACCAACTATCCCCCAGGCTTCCAGAAATAGACTCTGCTCTTCAGTTCATCTCAGAAATTATTCATCAGTTAACCAACCAAAAGGCCAGCATCGTGGATGACATCCACTCCACATTCGATGAGCTACAGAAAACTTTAAATGTTCGCAAGAGCGTGCTACTCATGGAACTGGAAGTCAACTATGGCCTCAAACACAAGGTAAGGGTCCCTTGTTCCTAAGATGTCCTATAAGAGACAAGGTGGGGGAGGGAGGCACCCCACAGCACTGGCTTAGTGTGCTCTAACAGCAAAGCAAAGGGGACTCAAATGGGTTCTTATAGATCACGGTTGTACAGTAAACTGGGTTCCATTTAATGGAATATCTGGCTCTTTTTTTTTCCCCCTCTTCCCCGGTTTCGGTAAATCTACGATTCTGTGACTTTAAGAACCAATTTATAATTTGACAAAAGGCAAGGTTGAATACTATGTAATGCTTTCAGGATTTAGGGTTAAGCTGGATTCCTTTCCTTCCTTAATTATAATGTGGGATAGCCTCTTAATTGCTCTCTCATCCACACTAACCTGTTCGTCAACTTCAAAGCGAAGCCTGACTGCAGTCTTTGTGTCTGTTCACAAAACCAACAATGAAAAGCTTTTGGTCTTCAGGTCTGGAGACTTCATTTATTTGGTTTCTGTTCCTGTAAGTGATGACTGAGAACTCTGAACATTCCAGAAAGATACTGAATAATGACTATTTTAGGCGTCAGGCATGACAGTTTATTTGCCATGCTTGGTACGGGCGTTTTTGTTGCTCCTATCCAAACACATGATCCAAGAAATCCACGTGTGGGCGATGTGGCAGGGCGAGGCACAAGGGACATCTTGAGAAACGCAGTTTAGGCTTTTGCACTGGACTTGGTTCACTGGGTTAAGTGGCATGCCACTTGCTGTGAGCCACCCGCCTGGGCAGGTGTAGAACCACCCTGGTTCTCGCGTGGGGAGGAGGGCCAGGCTCTGTCCCAGCGTGCTGGCAGGTGTCCTAGGAAGCGCTCACAGCCTCCCTCCGTGTCCCTCCCGGCAGGTGCTCCAGTCGCAGCTGGATACCCTGCTCCAGGGCCAGGAAAGCATCAAGAGCTGCAGCAACTTCACTGCCCAGGCGCTGCACCATGGCACAGAGACCGAAGTGCTGCTGGTGAAAAAGCAAATGAGCGAGAAGCTGAACGAACTGGCCGACCAAGACTTCCCCCTCCACCCGCGGGAGAACGACCAGCTGGACTTCATCGTGGAGACCGAGGGCCTGAAGAAGTCCATCCACAACCTGGGGACCATCCTGACCACCAACGCTGTGGCCTCTGAGACGGTAGCCACGGGCGAGGGGCTGCGGCAGACCATCATTGGGCAACCCATGTCCGTTACCATAACAACCAAGGACAAAGACGGCGAGCTGTGCAAGACAGGCAACGCGTACCTGACCGCGGAGCTGAGCACCCCCGACGGCAGCGTGGCGGACGGCGAGATCCTGGACAACAAGAATGGCACCTACGAGTTCCTCTACACCGTGCAGAAGGAGGGCGACTTCACCCTGTCCCTGAGGCTCTACGACCAGCACATCCGCGGCAGCCCGTTCAAGCTGAAAGTCATCCGCTCGGCCGATGTGTCCCCCACCACCGAGGGTGTGAAGCGACGTGTCAAGTCCCCAGGCAGCGGCCACGTCAAGCAGAAAGCGGTGAAGAGACCCGCCAGCATGTACAGCACTGGGAAAAGAAAAGAAAACCCCATCGAGGACGATCTGATCTTCCGAGTGGGTAAGGACAGGGCTCCCCCAAGCCCGAGCCCACCTGCGGCTGTGATTAAGCGGTGGGGAAAGGGACATGACAGCCCAGAATGTCCCCTCGAGGACTGTTGGTTTATTTTATGCAGGTAGCTCATGCAGGCTTCTTCTCCAGGGATGTCATCCCTTCTTCTTCCTTCTCTTCTTCCTCTCCTCAGCTCCTTCCACAGGCCACATATTCACTATTAGAAATTAGAAAACGAAAATAAGTAAAAAGAGAAACAGAAAAAAAGCTCAGAGCTCCTAGTCTGGAAATTGTACGGGAAAGGTGGGTAGTCTCCCATCACCCCCATGGGAGTGGACTCCTGCCTAACCCACAGACAGACAGCTGTTGTCCCCTGTGATTTGTGTTTCTGGGAAATCTGGCAGCTGGGGCTGGGGCCATGACCTGGATAGAGCCTTTGTGACTCTCTGTCACCACTTCTATGTTGGAAGGGGATGGGGAACAGGGGTTACATTGCGAACTGTGGTGGCCACCAGCTGTGTGTAGCTGGAGAAGGGCCCCAAAGAGGCGGGTGGAGAAAGGAATGGAGTTGGGACAGGGTTGGTGATGAAACCTCAAGGTGCTGGATGAGCCAAGAGACGGGAATGTAAATAGCCCTTGCCTCCCCTGATTTATTGCCTCTCTATTTGTTTATTTTAACTGTTTACTTTCTCAGTAGAAAGCGAACTAAATGTAAACAATGAAGGGATTAATCGGTTCAGTGTGGGGGGGACTCTGCATTTTGATTAGTTTCAGGAGGTTGCTTTAGCCTGCCTCCTTCTCCCCGTTCCTCTGCATTGCAGTATCTTAACTGACATGTATAGAAAAACAATCCTGTGGTTCAAATAAATTGGGAAATCTTGAGCTAAATGAAGGAAACAGATTCATTTTTTTTAACTGCTGGTCTTCTCAGAACTTTAGAATCTGCTGGTGTGCACAGTCTGAGGCAGGGATGGCAGGCTGCACTGGCCAACTTTTCTCACCAGGAACTTTTCCCATGGAACATCCTGGGAGATCAGGGCTCCTTGGAACATTCTTGGGCAGAGTTGCTCCACGTTAGCACTTGATACTGAATCTTGGTGAAGACTGTGGTAGGACCCCATAACTTGCTCATCCAGAGCCCAGCAGCCCTCAGGCCTTCTGTGGCTGTCTGAACAGTGTGGGTGAAGAGGACAGAGCTGGGTGAACACAGGATTGGGGACCTTCCAGGTCTGCCACTCCAGTTCCTCCACTTATTTGAGCCTTGGGGAGAGTTCTTAGGTTGCTTCATCTTCAATTTTCATGTCCATAAAATGAAAATGCAAAGATCCTGCTTCTCTGTTCTAAGAACTGAGAACTGATCTAAGTTCCAAGCTTCCTGCCTGACACAGTGGAGAAGCAAAATAAATAAGAGCTGTCGTCTTTGCATGTGTAATTATTGGGCTGTTAGAGTCTCCCTCCTACCTTTTCTTTTCAAAAAATTTTACTTGCTACCCCCCATGGAGCACCCATATTAAGAACAAATCCAATCCCATTCAAATCCTCACCCCTTGTTTCCACCCAAGAAATAGTAAAAGCTCAGGCAATGGGCTGAAAGGCTTAAGTCTGAAAGTGGGCAGATCTGTGTCTGAATCCTGATTTGCCTCACCAATTGGGTAGCTGGCTTACTCTTCCCAAATTCTGTTTCTTCCTCTGTAAAATAGAGTATGAGATAGCCCCAAGTCTTAAGGTTGTTCTTGTAATACACCTGGCATTCACCTATGTCCAGTGAGTGTTCAGTTAATGCTGGCTAAGATTTTACTGTTGCTATTATTAGTAATCATCACCTCGTTTCTGAAACCCACCTGAGGAAAGAGACATGTCTTTGTTTCAGTGTTTAATGTTTGTAAAGAAAGTAGAACAGGGAGGCTGAAGCCTGGAGGATCGTGGTTTGAGGCTAACCCTGGGCAAATAGTTTGTTGAGACCCCCATCTCCAAAATAACCAGAGCAAAAATGGACTAGAAGTGTGGCTGAAGTGGTAGAGTGCCTGCTTTGTAAGTGCAAAGCCCTGAGTTCAAATCCCAGTCACACACACACACACACACACACACACACACACAAAGAATGGCCAGGCGCCTGTAATCCTAGCTACTCAGGAGGCAGAGATCAGGAGGATCACAGTTTGAAGCCAGCCCAGGGAAATAGTTAGCAAGACACTATCTTGAAAAAAAAAAAAATGACAAAAAAAGGGCTGGTGGAGTGGCTCAGGGTGTAGGCCCTGAGTTCAAACCCCAGTACCGCAAAAAAAAAAAAGAAAAGTAGAACAGTGTGTAGTGTATCTGAGTTTATCAGTAAACTAAAGGAACTGTCTTAGTTTTCTAGGGATGCCACTGCAAAATATCACAGCCTGGGTTGCTCAAACAACAGAAATTTTATCTTCTCACTGTTCTTCAACTGGAATTGCTTTTAAGTTAGAAATCAAAGTTACAAACTATTACAAGTTCAAGATCAAGGTGCTGGAATCTTAGATCAAGAAACTAGAAGGGTGGACTTCCTCTGAGTCCTCTGCTCTTGGCCGTCCCCACTGCTGTTTTGTTCTGAGATGGTCATTTGTCACCCTGTGTAATGCCTCCTCCTGAGTCTGTTGTCTCTTCTTACAAGGACACTAATTATATGGCATTAGGACCCCACCTAATGGCTTTATTTTAACTTAATCACCTCTTTAAAGACTTTAATCTTCAAATATGGTTACATTCTGAAGTATTGGGGGTTGTGACTTTAATATATGAACTTGGGAAGGACACAATTCAATCTATAACCAGTGCTATGCGTCTCAGGTCTGTAGGAATAGAAAAGGAAGGAAGGCAAGTCTTACTGGCCTACTGCTCTTTTTAAAAAGTATTAATTAAAAAGTTAAAATTGTGTATATGTATATATATATATATATATATATATATATATATATATATGAATGACTAAGTCAGTCTACCATGTTCTATATAGTAAGGACACTTAAAATCTACTCATAGCAATTCATAAGATACATTGTTATTAACTGGAGTCACCATGACGTACAATAGATCTCATGAACTTATTGCTCTTATATACCTGAAATTTTATGTCCTTTGAGCAACATCTCCCCAGTCGTTCCACCCTCCACCTCTGGTAACCACCATTTCATGCTGCTTCTGTGAGTTCAGTTATTCCAGATTCCACATGTCAGTGAGGTCAGTATTTGTCCTGTGCCCCACTTATTTCAGTTAACATGGCCTACAGGATCTTGGATGCTGTCATAAGTGACAGGATTTCTTTCTTTTTAAAGGTTGACTAGTATTCCATCATCCACTCACACTTTGATGAGCACTTTGATTGGTTCCATCTTATGGCTATTGTGAACAGTGCTGCAGTGAACACAGGAGCACAGATCTCTTTTGTTGGCAATAATGGCGCCGATAGGTTTCAGTTCTTACTGCACCCTTAAGCTTCTGTTTTCTAGGGTCACAGTCCTGCCTCAAGTCTAGTTTGAATCCTCCTTCTGCCCCAACCTCCAATCAGCATGAACCATAAGATCCTAATCAATCAGATCATGCCGAGTCTCACTGGGGGGTGTTTAAGCCCCTGCCCCTTCTCTCCCTCTCTCTCTTTGCTCTCTCCCTCTCCCACTAGGCAATAAAGAATCTCTTGGCCAGATCACTCCTCTCCACATGGTCACTTTGGGCCTACATTTGCCTTACATCTTTGGCACACTGATGTCATTTCCTTTGGCTATATACCCAGGAGAGGGGCTGCTGGATCATATACCAGTCTACTTTCTCCACGCTGTTCTCTGTAAAGGCTGTACTAATTTACATTCCCACCAAGTGGACAAGGGTTCCCTTTTCTGCACAGCCTGGTCAACACTTGTGTTTTGCCTTTTTGATAACAGCTATTCTGACAGGTATGAGGGGATATATCACTTTGTGTTTAGTTTGCATTTTCCTGATGACTAGTGATATTCAACATTTTTTAATGTACCTTCAGGCCATTGTATGTCTTCTTGTGAGAAGTGTTTAGTTCCTTTGCTCACATTTAATCAGATTACTGTCAAGTTGAGTTCCTTATATATTTTGGATATTGACCTCTCCCTGGAAGTATGTTTGCACATATTTTCTCCCATTTTGTGGCTATCTTTTCACTTCAGTGATTGTGTCTTTGTTTTTGAGTTCAGTGTATCCCATGTGTCTGTTTTTGCTTTTATAGCCTGTGCTGTTAGGCTCATAGTCAAATAAAAACCATTGCTCAGACCAATGGCTGGGGCTTTTCCCTGTGGTTTCTTCTTGTGGTTTTAGCTTCAGGACTTAGGTTTTAAGTCTTTAATCTGCCTTTACTTAATTTTTATATATGCTATGAAATCACAGTCTAATTTCATTCATGAACATATCAATATCCAGTTTTCCCAGTGCCTTTTTTTGGGCGGGGACTGGGGTTTGAACTCAGGGCCTAGAAAGTGCTCTACCACTTGAGTCATGCCCATAGCCTCTTTTGTTTCAGTTATTTTTCAGATAGGGTCTTTGTGCTTTTTATCTGGAGCTAGCCTTGGGCCATGATTTTCCAATATCTGTCTTCTGCATAGCTGGTATTACAGCTGTATGCTACCACACCCATCTTGTTTTTTGAGCTAAGATCTCACTAACATTTTGCCCAAGCTGGCCTCAAACTGTGATCCTCCTATCTCTATCTCCCAAGTAGCTGCGATTACAGGTGTAAGTCACTGTCTGGTCCAAATTTTACTTCTTTTTTTTTTTTTTTTAGTGGTACCCAGGATTAAATTCAGGACCTCACATCCTAGCAGAAACTGTCTTTAAATGTGTAAATTTATTTCCAGTCCCTCAATACTGTATTTGTTTTGTTGCTTTCATTTTTGCTTTTTTTTTAAGAGATAGGGTCTTACTATGTACCCTACGCTGTTCTCCAACTTGTAATCCTCCTGCCTCAGCCTCCCAAGTACTGGGATTACAGATGTGCGCTACTACACCTACCTTTGGCCCTCTAT